TGTATATTGGGGTAGGGTTTGAGGGTCTCACATGTGAACCTGAGTACATCAGTATACCTGGGAGTTAAGCAGCAACTGGGGTGTGGTGGTGTGGGTATAGATCCAGATACTGAACTGATAATTCTTAATGAAATAGTGAATTTCTGCTTCTGTTTTGATGGACAGATGAAGGTGTGTTGTTTAAAATTTAGATCAGTTGCTCTGTTTTCCCCCTCTGCGTGGTCTACTCAGAAACTCAGAAAAACAATTGAAGACAGCTAAAGATAGAGGATTGTTTTGTCAAGGTTGAATGAAGAAAGTGTAGTCTTTTTCCACCTCCATCCCCATCCCTACCCCATCTCTGCAAGGTCGACTCACAGGAACAATTGAAGATAGTCACAGCTACAGGATTTGTTTCTTCAAGGTTGGATGCTGCAAATGTACTACCTTAAATGATATAAAATATTGTACACTAATGGGTTTCAGAACCTGGAATAAATAGTTGAGGTGCATATTTAATATACCAAAGCAGATGTGGCTTCCATATTCTCCCAGCATCCTTCAGTTGCTACCTCGTGTAACCCAACTTCACCCTTGAACTTTCTAGCCCAGGGACTGGACTTCCCCTCTCCCTAAGGCTCTTTGCTATATAATCAGACAAATGGATCTCTCCTTCTCTTTTCTCTGATTTTCCTTCTCTCTCCTCTTTCTCTTCCTTTTTCCTTCCATCTGTGTGCATTCACTCATTCTCTTGCCCCTGTCCTCTGTTGCCATCTTTATGATGACTTCTCTGGCCTCCTTGCTTGGAGCAGGTGAACTTGACTGCTAAAGAGCACATTCCCGGTAAACTTATGTTTATATATATTTTAAATTGGCTTGAATGGACTCCTTTCCTTGTTTGAGAAATAACTTATCATCTACCTCAATAACAAGCTCACTTAGAGCCTCCTCTCTGCTAAAGCCAATTTATAGGAAAATCATTAAGCATAATATATCATTGACTTTGGTCTGTACGTCTTACCTAAAGACAGAACATGTTGTAATAATTATTTAAAGTTTGGCCACCGGTCAAGCGGACAATCTAAGCTGTGGCAGCTCTGCCTAGCTCAGCAGCCATGTTCCATGGCCACGTGCACGCTGCAGCTAGAAATAGCCAGCCAGAAACACCAGCCCTGCCACCCATGAGACACCAGCATGGGAGATGGCTCTACCAATCTTCCACGCTGTCTCTGCAAGGCTGGGCATTAGCCAGACCATCCCACCATCCATGCAGGCCCAATAGAAAACTGAGACTCTAATGCTTAAAGATTAATCAAAGACTTTATATGTTTGATAAAGCTCAATAACAATATGTCCACGCAAAGAGAGTTGTTTCCCAATTAGCTAACCTAAATAAAAGTTGCTACCCGTGACTGTTCTCCATACCTCCATGGCTCTCCATTGCTCCTACATCTCTGCTTCCCCTAGCTCCTCCTCTTCCTTTTTCCTCTTCCTCTCCTAACTCCTCACACTTTAGCTCCTCCTACAAGAACACACATGTCTGTTAACAAATATTGTCCTCCTAAATTGAATGTTCTTATATCAATAAAGTTACAATAAATTTATAACTATCTTTTGGACTGTTTTATGTTATAATAAATCAAAGTGGATATAAAGCTCCCTCAAGCATATACAAATGTAGATTAAAGCACAATGTGAGCATAGCTTTTGTTTGATGAGTAATGGATATTTTTATGTGTCTAACTGACTGTAAAAGAGAATGAGTCTGTGTAGGAATCATATCCTGTATTATTTGCCCCTTCCTATTATAACGTATCTCCACTGACTGCAGTACCTGGACAGCAGAGTGAGAAGGTCAGTGCTCTTTCTCTGATCTGGTGGATTCAAACCCTAGGACTTGAAGTTGGCTGCAGAGCAGAGGCAACTGTTTCCTTGGAACTCATTGTATGAAGGAGCTCATCTAGGATGCTGGCGAACCAAGGAATAATTAGGCACAATAAAAGTATACATGAAATTCTATGGACTTTCACAGTTTTTAAGCATGAATGAATTTTATTTACATGTTCATTTGTGTTATGTTTAAACTGGAAGAAAGGTTGACTCATTTCTTAAAAAATATTAAGTAAAGTTAATAATCAAGGATTTTATGGAGAAACATGATATTCCTTCTTTGGCCATGTATCTGGCCATGAATCTATTAAATGGGACAGAAGAGTGCACTGAGTTTCTTAATCATAGACATTTTCTAAGAAATGCATCAACAGTTTCTTCACCACAAACTCATTGCATCCGTTACCTTACCACAGCTCTTGGTGCAACCAGAAGACACAGAAACACAAAGCAAACAAGGATAGTGTTGCAGTACCATTGCTCATTGTTTTATAGTTTCATTTTTTATAAACAGTGGTACAGTCATATCCACTGGAAACGGGGAGAGTCAGGAAGCCAGCAGAGATGCTTAACACAGTCCCAGCTAAATGGAGCAGATTGATGCAATCACTGTCCTTCTATCTCTAACATTTTGGATTTGATCTGGGTATGTTGCATTTTTGGGAACTTTATGTGTTAAGATTCATTTTATGCCTTTTCCTGAGAAACTGATGTCTGAGTCTTATTATGATAATCCTAAAAATTCAGTTTATCTGGCTAATATTTGGAACTCTTCTTCATGCCCTGAAGTTCACTAAGCACAGATAAGCACATAGCTAGATGAAGCCCTTGGTCCTGGAATCTGCTCCTGAGTAAATGCAAACAGTATAATCCATGCAGGGCAAACAGAGACAACTGACAAAATCTGACTGACCAGGAGAATAAGTCACAGATTCGAGGTCTACTTTCATTATGGTCTTAAAGCTCTCTGAATATGCAGTTTTAAAATTAGGAGTGTTACAAGGTACATCCTGAAGGACTAGAAATAAGATTATATAAACTTTCAAGTTTGGATAAAATAGATATTTCTTACTTCATAGCATACATGATGAAACATATAGTAAAATAAGTTAGGTATCAGCATTTGATATTCAAAAGGACCAGTTCAGATAGTTTCTTCTATCTGAAGTGCTTTCAAATAACAAACACATTTAACATAAGAGCAGGTTGTCATATAATTAATTTGTTTGCTTTGGGGGAGATATTATTTAGATTTTTTAAAATTAGAGTTATATATGACTTATAATAAGAATAAAATCTGTTTTGTTTGTAATTGGTACTGTTATTATAACATGGGCATGTAATGAAAAATCAAACACATAATCTGTATTGCTTGAATAATCATTAATCTGTCTTTGTTCTGTAAAACTTGTATAAATAAAGAAGCATTTTGTGGCTAGTAAGTCAGAGTCACAGAACTGGCCTGATTTATTAGTCAGAGCTGCAAAATTACCCTGACCATCCCCTGACACACTCTGTCATCAGGGAAAGTTCCTTCTTTCTCCAAGGAAGAACCACCCCCCTAGCCAAACAGAAAGAGTAAAAGTATGGTACGGTATAGTATATAGTAAACTTAGTATATAGTATATATTAGTATAAAGTAAACTTAGTCACCCAAAGCCATCAACAATCATGTACTCTATGCATTTGCATGTACAGTGCTGGTACATGGCTCTCAGTATAGCGGGCTCCTTACCCTAGAATTACGGTGAAGACATAGGACATGGGAGTGTGACAATATGGTGGCTAGTGTATCTCAAGCCAGGAGGGATTTTCAGTGCCATGGTATTTTTATGTAACCCAATTGTCAATGTTTTCTTGCTTGCTGCTGGTAAAAAAATATGAATCTTTATGAGACACATAATCACATATCATATAGAAATTAATTTCCATTATTCCAACAGAAGAATGTCCATGTAATATGGCATTCTTTCTTATCTTCTAATATTCCTCTCTGATGTTCATATCATCCTATTATCTCTCCTCTCAAGAAGTTCCTTTCTCAAATTCCTGTCATTTTTAAATTGAAAATTCATACAATATATTCTGATTGCAGTTTCCCTCTCCCATCTTATCCCAGATCATTCTGACCTGTGACACACCATGATTTTTTTCTATATAGTTAGAAACAGACAAACAAAAGGAGAGTTCAAAACAACAAAAATGAAAACATACAGGAAACACACACATACACACAAACACACACACACACACCAAAAAAATATAAACCATCAAAATCAAACAATTTTAAACCTTAGTATAGAAATAAAATACCAGGAAGGATAAAAGGTGCTCACAAAGAATAATGTAAGACAAAAAATTCTAAAACATTCCCTCTGAGTTCATGTTGTGTTACTCATCTACTGTGCAACACGCACCTACCCTTAAGTGAAGTTTAAATATCAAGTCAGAGTCCATGGAGAAAACGGATTTTTCTTTTGCCAGCAGTTGTCAACTGGGGATGGCTTCTTGGTTCAGTATGGGACATTTTATCATTTGCTTCCCATTTCAGAGCTTGGATCCTATCTAGCTTTACCTGTGCAGCCTGATGCATGCTGCCACCATTGTCTCTATTAATTCATAAGTGCTTCTGTCCTACTGTGTCTGGGAGACCTTTCCTTGCTATTCACCATTCCCTCTGACTCTTAGCTCTTTCTACAGCTGTCCTGTCATGCCTAGACACATTATGTGCCCCGTTTTTCCCTGGTGTCTCTGTGTTAGAACTGTTTTCACACCTCTTTCATGATGATCCCTGAGCTGTGATGGATCATATGTGTTCCTTATGAGCGTTGCACAGACACAGATTCTCCACATGTTAAACAGTCATGAATTCCTGTGTGAACCACCTCCTGCTACACAGGGAAACATCTCTGATGAAGCCTGAGAACTGCACTAATCTGTGGGTAGAGAATTAAGAATTTATACGACAGTGCGATATTTTGTCTGTTCAGCAGAACAATATGAGTGGGTTTACTGCTGGTGCGTATGAGGGTCACAAGACTTGTTTGTTTTTTTTTTATTGTTAGCCAGATTTTTAGGACCAGGAATGTGTTTTCACTAAAATGACATAGAAAAATAGTTTCGAATTAAATTAAGCTACAGTTTCAGATTAAAAGATTTTCTTTCTCAAGGTTTTTCTCAAGGCAACTTTAATGTCTTTGTTCCTCAAGCTGTAAATTAATGGATTCATCATAGGAATTAAAATGGTATAAATGATTGAAGACGTCTTTCCATTATTCATTGTTCCAGCTGAATTGGGTTTGAGATACATAAATGCACCAGATCCAAAGAACAGAGAAACAGCAATTATGTGGGAGCTGCAGGTGCTGAAGGCCTTTGACTTGCCCTCAGTGGACTTCATCTGCAATATGCTAGAAAGGATGAAGCCGTATGAGATAAAGATGATCACAGTGGGTACAATGATGTCCTTTCCTGCTACAATGAACACCTCTATCTCATTGACATAGGTGCTGGTGCAGGAGAGCTGCAGCAGAGGGAGGAGGTCACAGAAATAATGGTTGATGGTGTTTCCATCACAGAAAGTCAGTCTCAGGACACATCCAGTGTGGATCATAGCACCAGAAAACCCCATCAAATATGAAGCAAGCATAAGATAAGAACACACCTTGGGAGACATGACAATGTTATACAAAAGTGGATTGCAAATGGCCACATATCTATCATAGGCCATTGATGTGAGAATATAACACTCAGAAATGACACAGAAACCAAATAAATAGAACTGGGTCATACATCCCGCATATGAGATAAAATTTTTCTTTAGAGTAAAGTTCATCAGCATTTTTGGTATAATTACAGAAGAGTAACAAAAGTCTACAAAGGATAAGTTAAAAAGGAAAAAATACATAGGGGTGTGAAGGTGAGAATTCAACACAATGAGTATAATTAAAGCCAAATTTCCCAATGCAGTTATCATGTACATTAGTAGAAAGATCAGAAACAGGGGAATTTGGAGGTCAGGCTGGTCTATTAACCCCAAGAGAATGAATTCAGTTACCACAGAGACATTTGCCACAGCCATGGTTTTATAAGAATGCCTGTGAAACATAAAAAAATAAAATACAATAAAAAAAAGTAGATTAGAGGATCATGCAAGACTTACCACTATTGTTTTACAGAACTGAAAGCATGGCTGTCAAATCTTGTGATGGCTGCAATAGAAGTCAAGGGGAAAGCAAGAAGTATAATGCACACACCAGCATCACCCTTGCCTTCACTATTTCTTTTTATTTTATCATCTCTGTAACACAAATAGATACACTAACAACTGGTTTTTACAATCCATTCAGACTGAACTCTGAGTGTGTTAGAACCATGAACACTGTTTCTAATTTAAACAAAAGAACCAGAATCTAGGAATGATGAGAATTCCGGTAGAGTAGCATTAGGTTCCATAGTATGAGAACTGTACATGCACAGAGAACTTACTAATGTAAGCATCACAACACAAGTATCTACTGACTCAAGAGTTTTCTTGTCTGGGTCATCCATCTGGAGATTTCTTTTGAACCTTTGGACTTTACAAAATCAGAAGAAAATGGCATAACTCTGGTGCTTGGACTATATCAGTGTGAAGTCACTAAAACAAAGCACATTTTGAGACATTATTACATGAAGTGAATTCCATATGCAATCACAGTTATATTCACAAACAGAAAGAGTGCAGTGAGGTCTCATGAAACCCAGGGAGGAAAAATTGAATCATTCTGATTAAAATGAAATAATGTTAAAATATCTAACATGAATAATTCCTAGATTGTTCACTGTGTGAAATTAGCTTTGTTACTTTGTATATCCAGATATCCTGACATGAAACAGTAAAATAAGGTTCTCATTGCATACACACACAGACACACAGACACACACAAACACACACACACACAAAACACAAACACAAACACACACATACACACACACACACACACACACACACACATTATACCTTCCTAATATTGAAGGCAGCGCCAATAAGCTTCATTGAAAAGTTACTTTACAATGAATTGCAATGAAATTACACACACACACACACACACACACACACACACACACACACACAACCTTTTAAGCCATTTCAGTCAAGTTGTTTTAAAGGTCAGGAAACTAATAGGACTGTTTTCAAAGCTTGCTTTGCCATTTCCTGCTGTCTTCCTTGATAAACAGGTTTTGGCACTGCAGTATTGGTACGTGGTATTCTAAGAGATTACAGAACAACAAATACTCTAATTCTACAAACTTTCTCCTATTTTAGAGAAGTAAAACTTAATCCACTAAAACACTAGTGGAAAATGAGAATCCTGTGTATTATCACACTAGCCCCTGAGAAACCAAACACTTCAAATGAGTTTAGTAACGTACTACACATGGCTATGTGCAAAGTATAAGCTTACTTAGTATCTTTGCAGGAACAAAAAGTGATATTAAAAGAGAATGAGACGAGAGCAGTTTCATACTATGCCATGATGAGTCATTCATATCTTGGGGATTTAAATTGTGCACACATTTCTCTATGGGGATTCTACATATTCTGTGCTTGAGCCAATTCTAAACTCCCATCTTCCAATCCCTTCCATCTCCTCTGGGATAGCTTGTGTTTTGATTCTTTCCTTCATTGCTAAACAAATCTCCACTTATAATTTTCCATACAACCCTCTAATTATTTAATGAAAAATATATCAATAAATATACTATCACACAATTTAGGTGACATCTTTCCTGACATATCTCTCAAATCATTTTTTTAAAGTTTGGACTTCTGGGAATGGATATAAGCACTTTATATATGCTAAGCAAGTAGTCTACCACCAAACTAATTTTCTCATCCCTAAAAATCCGTGCTATATTTTGTATAATTTCTAAAATTTTGTACTTTCTATAAATCCCTACTTGACTATCCTTCTTACACTCATTAGACATAACACATTAGTGGTGGGGTCAGCAATTTCTGAAGCTGTTACAGAACAGAATGAGGATTACAGACTTAAATGGTCTGTATTTGACAGCTCTCTCATACACTTCCTTATTATGATAGTTTCGAGAGGTTACTGAATATCTCCATGCCTCAGGAATTGCAAATGTATATCCATTTTCCACTGGAACATCATAGTGATTCAGAAAAATAAGGGGAAAATGATCAAATAATGCCCCTGACTATAGGTAATAGTGAAATACCATCTCTGAATATATGTGATGTGCTCTTAGACTTACAAAAAGGCTCTATGCATATTAACTCATTAGTATTTAATAATATTCTAAATTGAAGGACTTTTAAAATGTAATGCAAAAAAAATGGGTTACCAACAGCCCACAGGTTACTGCCTTGAATAGGAAAGTTTGAAATGTGTTCACATTAGCTTTATGTTGTAACTATCTATATCTATTAAACATCAGAGAAAGACTTTGCACTGGAATTAGTTATTAGTTATGATACTCATTTTGAAAAATGTTCACGACACCTAATAAATTGTAGAAACAATATATCTGGAAAAATATCATCTAATTTGTTAAATTAATTTATTACCCAAAAGTTTGTTATGGAAATCAGACCCTTATATTATCATATTAATATTGTATATGGTTTGCATATGGACATTCACACCCCACCAATGTTCAGTTTAGTGAGTAAAACTTGTTAAAAATTCTGTCAAGCCAACAACAGTTCTTGTAATTCTAGCACTCAGGATGCTAAGGCATGAGGAATGTGAGTTCCAGGTCAGTTTGTCATGCTCATCCACTATTCTTTCAACTAGTGTTGAACTTAATTTACAATAAAATTTGTGAATATTGACAGTAGAATCCAACTATGTTACTGGCCTAGGCCAGCAGGTTGTTCTTCAGTGACAAGATCCTGAGGAGGAAGACCATATAACAAGTATATAGAGAAAATGGGAAACTATCAATATTGGAGCATCATACAGTTCTCTCTCTCTCTCTCTCTCTCTCTCTCTCTCTCTCTCTCTCTCTTCTTCTTCTTCTTCTTCTTCTTCTTCTTCTTCTTCTTCTTCTTCTTCCTCTTCCTCTCTCTCTCTCTCTCTCTCTCTCTCTCTCTCTCTCTCTCTCTCTCTCTCAAAGTTATGGTCTTCTTTTTCTTTTTGTTGTTATATGAATAAATGTATATGCATATACACACATATTCCTCAATATGTAATCATTCTTTTCACTGATCCCAGACACCTCTTCTCTCAGAACCCTTCTCTATGCTGAGGCTGGTTCTTGGCACCACAGGAAATCCAACAGAGTCAAATAACTTGGACCCTTGGGAGCTCCTAGAGACTGAACCACTAACCAGAGTGATTATGGGCTGGACCTAGGCCCCTGCATAAATGTAGCAGATGTGAATCTTGATTTTCATGTGGGTCTCCCAACAACTGGAGGAGGGATTGTCCCTGAATCTGTTGCCTACTGTAGGACCGTGTAAGGATGGCTTGTTTTCTGGTGGCACACTGGCTAGAGATGGCCAGAGACCCAACAGGTATCCCTGCAAGGGACGACATTGATTTTGCCACACTCCCAGACACCAGGCTCCTGACACATGGCCGAAGACCTCCATTGATCAGCACCTTTTAGTCGTGGAGGGCAACGCCTCTACCAGCACCTCCAAAGGTAGAGGGCATGACTATGGGCCCCAGAGCCTCAAGAGATCTCCGTATTAATGAGAAACCTAAAGGCCAGAAGGCATAGTCAATTAAGCATTCCTTCTCAAACTCTCCTTCTTTCAAATGGTATTTAGCCTCAGGCTCACCCTGGGAGTACAGGGGTACAGCTTCATTCACTTTTCACCATGACAATAAACCTTTTTAAACCGTGGACTTCTTCACATCTTTGGGGCCAACCTTGGACAACCGTGGAGGGGGCCTTCGACTATCGGTGACCTGCCAACTCAAGCAAGCTAGGTGAGCCAGCCCTGACCCAGCAAAGTGAGTCGCTTTGACCAAGAGTCTCTATCCTGCAGGGTGCTGCCAGAGCTTCTCTCCCTTGCTCCTCTTGGCTGGTTTGGTCCAGCCCACACAGCCCCCAATCTCATCACTTCTGTGGCTCCCAGAAGTGTCGATCCCCACATGCCTTCTTGTCCAGGATCCCCATCCAAGAGCTCTGTCCCCACAGGACTTCATGCTGAGACGTCTCCATTCCCCGGGGGGAGCCCCATGGCTTCTCATAGCCCATCTTCTGCCCAGCGCCTTGTGGAGTGAACTCAGGGGATCCACAACTCAGCCCAACAGGACCCACACCCACACATGAGCTACAGCACTACAACTGATGGAGGATGTGGTTGTGGGTCTGTAGCTTGCACGTGGCCATTGGTCCTGTTGGGCTGAGCTGTGGATCCCGTGTGTCTGCCGCCCCAGACAGCTGGAACCGCAGCTCTGGGAGAAGTGTGGGAATTTGGTCTATGAGAAGCCTCGGGGCCCTGTCCAGGCATGGGGAGGTCTCAGCCTTTGATAAAACTAGAGTTAAAGTCTTATCTGAAAAAAGTAAACAGTTCAGTTTCTCTCAAGCAAGCTGATATGAGCTGAGGGATTAATTTGCTAAAATAGGTAGACAGGAGTTACTTTGGGCAATCCATTTCTCTAGTCCAAGAACAAAGAACTGGAATACGTATGAACCTTGCAAAGAGAAGGTATAATTAATTTTATGTTCCTGCAAAGACATTACTTTCCAAATGGTATACACTTAAGTGATACCAGCCTGAAACATTGTCCTGCTTCCTGTGTCCAAGATGCAGAAATATGTGCATCTCCCTAGAACATAGTCCTCAAGCATTTTTCACTTACAATAAGCCAACAAATAAGCTCAGAATATTTATTCTTTAACGCTTCCTATGTGAGATCCACTCTTGGACTTAGAAAAAGTCTACTATATACTGTTTGCTTTCTTTTTTTCTTTTTGTATTGGATATTTTATTTGTTTACATTACATTTCTAATGTTATCCCCTTTCCTGGTTCCAACTTTGCAAGTCCCCTATACTATTTCCCTACTCCTGCTTCTATGATGGTGCTTCCCATACGCTCACCCACTCCCACTTT